AAACAGGGGCTGAGAATGTAGCTTAGGGGTAGAGTGCTTACCTAGCATGCATGAAACCCTGGGTTCAACTCCTTAGTACCACATACACAGAAAAAGCCAGAAGTAGCACTGTGGCTTAAGTGGTAGAGTAAAAGAAGCTCAGGGACAGTGCCCTGAGTTTCAAGCCCCAGGACTGACAAAAAAAGAAAAGATGAGAAGAGGAGAGGCAAGGCAAGGCAAGGCAAGGCAAGGCAAGGTGGGGAGGAAAAAGAAAAGAACAAAATAACAAAAACCAGGGCTGGGAAGGTGGCTCAGTGGAAGAGTGCATGCCTTGCATGCATGAGGTCCTGAGTTCGATTCCTCAGCACCACATATGCAGGAAAAAGCCAGAAGTGGTGTTGGGGCTCAAGTGGTAGAGCACTAGCCTTGAGCTAAAAAGCTGAGGGACAGCACCCAGGCCCAGAGTTCAGGCACCACGACTGACCAAAAACAAAACAAAACAACAACAACAACAAAAACCAGTGTGCAGCCCTGAATTCAAGCCCTAATACTAGAACATAAAAAATCAATGTTCAAAGGAAGATGGCTATCCATCCCAATGGTTTCCAAATTGTCTATATACATATAATAAATACCTTAAGGAAGACCACACAAGAGCCAAAGGCATAATAAATAACCTTAAGGAAGACCACACAAATATTGGAGTGAAACTCAGTCCCAGTTTCCAACTCTTGCTCATGTTTCATGTTTTCTCTTCAAATCCACTTGGCCCAGGCAACTTCTTCCAACACTCTGAATTCTAATGATGGAGGGGAGCCTAAAATGCTTCTACAATTTTAGTCCACCACTTATGTGCATATGAAATGCATGCTTGCCAGGGGCCAGTGGGGTTGAGAGCTGAATATCTCAGTTTGAAGCCAGCCCGGGCAGGAAAAGTCCATCAGACTCTCTCTCTCTCTCTCTCTCTCTCTCTCTCTCTCTCTCTCTCTCTGGTCATTCATAGGGCCTAAACTCTGGGCCTGGGTGCTGTCCCTCAGCTCTTCAGCTCAAGGCTAGCACTCTACCACTTGAGCCATAGCACCACATCTGGCTTTTTCTGCTTATGTAGTGCTGAGAAATTGATCCCAGGGCCTCATGCATTCGAAGCAAGCACTCTACCACTGAGCCACCTTCCCAGCCCCCCATCAGACTCTTATCTGGAAGTAGAGCTGTGGCTCAAACTGTAGTGTGTTAGCCTTGAGCATAAAAGCTCAAGGACAGTGTCTAGGCCCCAGAGTTCAAGCCCTAGGACCAGAAGAAAGAAAGCAAGAAAGCAAAAGTGTGTGTGTGTGTGAGAGAGAGAGAAGTAAGCAAGCATCCTTTTGAAGAGATGGAACTATTCAGTGGCTCCTTTTGATGGAGGGCTGTGGTCAGGCCTCCTTTGCTCAATGCATGAATAGTGTGTGACATCAGAATCACAGAGACAGTTGTTTGGAAAAAGGAAACTTTCTTCCCAGTATGTGTCATTAAAACTGTGACCATGCAGGAGCACTAGTTTAAAAACAAAACCAACAACAGAGCACCAGTGCCCAACTCACCTCAGCTTCGTCTGCCTGTCCAATCCAACCACTTTCCGCACCACCTGCTGGCAGAAGCACTCCTACTACAGAGATGAGAATTGTACCCAGAACATTCCCCAGACGCTACTAGGAAGCCAGAGGAGGGTGGGAAATTGTGCCATTCTCACAGTGTCCTCAAGGGCAGCAATGGGGAAGGGGAGAGGTGGTTCCCAGGGTGCCTGGGGAATTACGTTCTCCTCCATAGAGTGTAGGGGTCTGCCCAAAAGGTACATAGTTGACTAGAGCCCTCTGGGTGCAATGTAGCCAGCTGTCAGGCCTGCTCACTGGTCTGGAACAGCTGCCTATGGTCTCTAATCTGGAGAGGTATGCTTCCTTGGGATCTTTATAGTATCTGAAATATGCTGTCTGAAGCTTTCTCACTAGCCTACTTTGGCCAACCTTTGGTTCATGGAAAAAACTTTGCTCTTCTCTGAACAAGGATTTTTTTTTTAATACAACTGGGCAAAGGACAGTTTGAGAGATGGTGCCCACCCTTCTTCCCCTCCTCCCCCCCCCCCATCACACTTGGTTTGCTGAGCCAGGAAGTACCATTTGGATAAGAGAGCATTGAGCAACAAACACACCCTTTGCCCCTGAGGTAAAAGAAGACTCTAATAAAACAAAATGACATGGGAGACAACCCAGTTTTGCCCCAGACTCAACTTGCCACTGTGTCTGCATCTTACAAGTGATCATTCTAAACTGCTGGCTGCACGTGGCTAGTGCTGGCTTCAGCCTGCCCTTGGACTCAGGCTCTAAAGGTCAGCCTGAGTAGCTCAGTAAGTCCCAACAAGATCTATTACCTCTTCTTTTCTTTCCTGACTGTAAGACAAGTGGAGGGTCAGTCTTCCTTCTAAAGGGGACCCTCTTTCCTTCCCAGCACCACTAAAGGCAGGGCTACTAAGAGGTGTGTATGACAAAGGATCTGAAGACTGTCAAGTTTAGGGTAGAAGTCCAGTGTCACTGCATATCTTAGCCAGGTGGCAGTAAACATGACTTCATCTCTGAGCCATTTTCCAGTAGTTCTCTTTACCCTGACTGCTGCAAGTTTTAATGTAACAGATATTATTCTACCTATTGTCATGTTCTGAACAATTTCAAATTGCCATTAAGTGGATTCATTCCAAGGGTATGGGGTATCACCTGACAGGACAACAGGAACGCTCTTAAACCACTTTCTTTCAGTCCCGCTGAGAAGCTGGAAGAACACAGAGAGCAGTTTGCTCTGGGATTACCTGCGGCTCCTGCGGTGAGGTCAATGGCAGCTTGGATGGCAGGATTGGACTTCATGGTGCCACTGGCATTTGCGGGAGACAACTTTCTGGAACTCAGGACAGGCACCGATATTCCTGGGAGGAGGCAAGAGCCTATCATTAGCCCAATCTCTGCAGCACACATTTTCTGTGCTTGTTGCACAGTTACTGCACCTGAATTTCTGGGGACTGAGTAGAAGGCTCCTAAGGAATTGGACTTGGGGTATCAATGTAGCTGAGTGATGTACTGCTCCATAAAAAGTTCACACCCCCCAGCTCAAAAATAAAATCCTTCCCTGAATTTCATTGCTTCAGCCCTCACCGGTAATTTGACAAACCTTTAGGAAAACCTTACAAATGAATACCAGCTAAGAAGGCCACCACAGACATCCCAAACCACAACAGACTAGTTTTTCAGAGCCTGAAAATAGCAGCCTGTGCTGGGAGCCCCATAAGTTTGGAGAAGTGCATGCAAGAAGTCTTGACCCCTGGGGTCAAAACCCCTGCAGAGTCACTCAAACCTATTGAAAGTGCCTGCTCTCTGAGCAAAGTGACCCCTTCAGTTGGGGGTCCTCACCTACACAAAGTGAATTAGAGAACAGACAAAAACCACACACAACAAAAACAAAACACATGGGACTGATATATCATGCATTCTCAGAGCAAGACCCTCCATCCACCCCAGCTTTTCCCAGCAGTAAACAAGCAGGTTCACCAGTGGTCAGGGTACAAAGCCAATTCTGATTCAGCAGGCCTCAGGTGGGACCAGGAAGCTACCAGGCTTAAGTTTCCAAGGTGAGGTTGATAATGCAGGCCCTCCAACCACACTTGAAGCATTAACACCTGGGTCATTAAGTTCTCCATTTGTTTGAGAATCACCTGGGGACCTAGGCTTCTCTCCAGTTGGGACCTAGGCTTCTCTCCAGTTGAGTCTTGACTTGGTATTTTTGAATTGTAGCCCACAGAGTTTGGGAAAGCTATTATATTCTCTAAAGTTAGACAAAAATCAACTACTGGTGAGACATGAACTTCATAAATACTGAATCGAAAGAAAAATAGGCAATGTTTTAATACATAGGATTAAAATAACCAATTCAGCAACCAATTTTATGCAGTTTTCATTCAAACAATGGAGTGATTTCTAAGTAAATAACAAGGGACAAATTTCATTCCCTATCTTATTGCAAACTTTGGCACAGATCAGAGATGAAGGGCAAGGTCCTTTCAAACACATTGTCCTAAATAGAAAATAATGCTAGCCAAGGTTTTCAGTCACTTTTTGCACTTTGCCAATGAACAAACTCCAAAATGGAGACCAGTTTTGTTTTTCCCAAAGGAATGCAACCCGTAGGTGGAAGGAAGGAGGAAAGAGAGGAGCAGGGAGAGAGCAACAGAGAAACAGGGAGACAGAGAGAAACCGAGAGACAGAGAGAGAGAAATTATTAACTTGGCAAGTTTTTAAGTCTTTTAAACCTGTACGTTCAAATGCATACCTAATTCCAGGGTTTACCAAGCAGGCCAAAAACAAACCCAAAACATTCAACCCTGCATTTTAGGGGAGGGAAAGAAAAGGAGGCAAATATATAGACAAGACTATCTAACGTGGGTCCTTAGATAAACCTCTAAGAATGATAAGTATAGAAAACGGCCACAGATACTAAACAGACAAACTCAGAAGTCGTGCAAAATGACACGAGAGCCGGGCATTGCTGTGGCTTGGAAAAGACGCGGGGCTTGCGGGACCCAAGAGCTGGTGGTCAGCATGAATCTAAACCTGTGTGTGCGCTTGCTGTAAGAATGGAGACACTGAATCTCTTCGGCGAGCCGTGGCCTAACTTTTCAAACCACCCCAGGGTCCGACTCGGTGGACACGAACACCACAGCTAAGCCCAATTTCCTCCTCGGTCCTGGGGGGAAGCAAATTTCTCAGGTGGTAGAAGCGCAGGCGGCCCACACTTTTCCACTTAGGACAATCGCAGCTGGACGGCGCTGGCCCATCGCCTTGGGAGCCCCTCGGCCGGACGCAGAGATCTGGGGGTGCAATCCCGCCCAAGCAGCCCAACCAGGCGCGACTCCCGGTAGCCGACCAACTCCCCGCCCGCCGTCGCTGCCCGCACGCGACCCTGCCGCCGCCCGCTGCCCGCGCGCCGCCCATTCATAAGCCCGGCCGGGCGCCTGGCCAGGCGACAGGACTCGGGGCAGAGGGCAACGTGGTCCAAAAGTTAGGCTCTGCATGAAGGAGGCCCAGGAGCTCCAGGGGCTCCGGCGAGACCCTGCCAGCGCCATTGGCTGCGCACGGGTCCCCTGGCACGCGTGGTGCCGGTCGCCTCCCGGGCCACCCGGGAAGGTCAGGCCGTCCAGCTCTGGAGCCCGTCCCGCGCCCGTCCTCCCTCCTCGCGCGCGCCCCGCTCACCGCCACGTCGGCGTGGCCGTGCTCTGCACGGGCTGTGCCACCTGCTCCACGATCCTGGGACTCCGCGGCCCGCGCGGCCCCCTTAACACGGTCAGCCACGGCCGGCCCTCGGCTCCGCCCCGCGGTTCCGGGACGCCCCTCGGGGCGGGGATTGGAGGCGGGAGCCCTCACGGCCCAGCGCCCTCCCGGGAAGCGGAAGTCGGCGGGGACCCGCGCGGCCGCTGCGGCCCGGAGCTCCTGCGCTGGGGATGCTCGCTAGATCCGTGCGCCCCTGCGCACCGCCTGGACAGGACTCAGCGGTGCCCTGTCGCTACAGGGGGCTCCCTGAGGACCCGAGGCTGAGAGGCTGTGGTTTAATGGTAAATTGCAAACGAAGATGATGAAAAATTGGATGAAATATGGTGAAGAATTGGATGAAAAATTAGTGTGCACATTGCCAGTTATTATTATTATTAGCAATATTTCTCCCCCAAGGAATCCCACCCCCAGTGACATTCTGACAAAAACTGCAGATCCAACTCAGCCTCTCCGGTCTCAGTTTCTGATGAATGAAATGTTATCTGGGGTTCTCCGGCGCATTTCTGCAAAGCTGAAAATGTACATCGGAGTGAGTTTCTCTTCTGAACTAGCCACCTGCTCAACTGGAAGGATCTTTGGATAGATCTTTCGTATAGTACTTATTCACTACCTTCCCATTGCTTTGATTCAGGCTTTCTTGCTTTCTTTTCATTTTCTGCCTTGTCTTTTGTGTGTTTTGGGGGTGGAAACAGAGTCCAACTATGCAGCCCAGGTTAACCTTAGGGTCAAATCCTTCCTCGTGAATGCTGGATTCCCGATGTGCACCATCACAACCATTTGTGTTTTCTTCCTTGAAACATTGAACTCTAGAAGACTGAAAGGAGCCGGGCGCTGGTGGCTCACGTCTGTAATCCTAGCTACTCAGGAGGCTGAGATCTGAGGATTGCAGTTAAAAGCCAGCCTGGACAGGACAGAACTACCACAATGAAAGCCCTTTTACAATGAATACATATTAATAAAAAATAAATTGAAGAAATTACACTTCCAAAGAATGACTCAATAGCTGTAGTTCCAGCTACCTGGAGGAGATAGAGTACAGATGGCTGTTCAAAGCCAGCTGGAGAAAAAAAAAAAAAGTCCAAGAGACTCTGTTAGCAAAATGAGTCCTTTCCCATAGCTTAGTCCATTTTTGCCCTCTCCACAGCTTGGCATGCTCCCTTCCTAAGCAACCCTAGGCCCATGTAGTAAAGGCAGTAAATAATCAACTTCCATCCCCCTTTACCTTGGGATGACACTTCTCTGGGGCAGCTACCACCATATAAGGCAACAAGAGCCCCTTAGAGTGACCTTCAGGTCTGGGCAGTTACAGGACCCTTATCTACTATTTGGACAGTAGCCATAAATCCTAGTCCACCATGATGAAGGCCCTGGCCCACAGGTCTATACCAGGGTCTCTACCTCCTAGCCCCTTCTAGCCCCTCCTAAACCTCCTAGGTTACATAGGTCACCCCAGACAATAGCTGGTACTTCTTCTCATTCCTCCCTTGTGAGAAGGAGTCTTGC